TCCCGGCTCCGCCAACGTCACGGACTTGGCATGACAATCTAGAACGGCATGACATGGAGATAACCAATCCATACCCAATATCACATCAAAGTCAACCATACTGAGCAACAAAAGGTCCACTTGGGTCTCCAGACCCCCAATAGTCACCACACATGATCGATATATGCGGTCCACAACAATAGTATCTCCCACAGGAGTAGATACATGAACCAATGAAACTAAAGGCTCACGGGGCATATCCAAAAAATGGGCAAAATACGAGGAAGCATATGAATACATGGAACTAGGGTCAAATAATACAGAGGCATCTCTATGACAAACTGAGACAATACCTGTAATCACAGCATCTGGTCTGGTAGGGAGGGCATAGAAACGGGCCTGGCCACCCCCTGATCTGCCTCTCCCTCTTAGGCGACCCCTAGCTGACTGGGCTCCACCCCTAGCTTGCTGAGCTCCACCCCTGGCTGCCTGTGTGGGTGGTGGAGGAACTGGTGCTGGTGCCATCGGCCGAGTACTTCGTTGTGGAGTTCCACCCAATAGCCTTGGGAAATCTCTCATAATGTGACCAAAATCTCCGCACTTAAAACAACCCCTCCTCTGACGAAACTGCTGCTCCTGTTGCCCAAAAGAACTACCCGAGGATACCTGAGAGGGCGGGGCATGATGAGAACTTTGCTGATGACTGTGAGAACGATAGTCAGATAATGCACCACGGTGAAATGGCCGAGCTGACTGAGCCTGTCTGAAATGACGACCTTTACAATGCTGGAACTGACACCCAAAAGGAGCACCGCTGAGTCCACTCTGACCACGAGGCCTTTTGGCCTCCCTCTCAACCCTCTCTTGACCGCGAACCATCTCAATCTGCTGAGCAATGTCAACAACCTCATCAAAGGTAGCACCAGACACCCTCTCTCTAGTCATGAGCAACCGTGGCTGAAAAGTGAAACCAACTATAAACCTCATGATCCTCTCCCTGTCTGTGGGAACCAACCAGATAGAATGACGGGCCAACTCCGAGAATCGCATCTCATACTGCGTCACAGACATATCACCCTGCCAAAGCTTCTCAAGCTGTCTGCGCAGCTCCTCTCTGCGGGACTGAGGCACGAATTTCTCCACAAAAACCACGAAGAACTTCTTCCAAGTAAGGGGTGTTGCGCCATCAGACCTACGCCTCTCGTAAGTCTCCCACCATCTGAGTGCAGCCCCAAAAAACTTAAAAGTAGTGAATGAGACCCCACAAGTCTCCAGAATACCAGTTGTACGGAGTATCCTCTGACACCTGTCCAAGAAGTCCTGGGCATCCTCTCTCTCTGTGCCATTGAAAGGTGGAGGCTGGAGTCTCCCAAACCTCTCCAACCTACACTGATCATCCTCAGGCATAGCAGGAACCACAAAGTCCTGAGCAGCTAAAATCGGCTGGGCTGGTGGTGCCTTCGGTGTCTGGAGTCCCTGAACAACCTGCTCGGGTGTGCAAACGGCGGGAGTCTGAGTGCCTTCCCCGGCCTAAGACGTGGCTAAGGCCGTCGAGATAGAGACCGCCTGAGCAAGGTCAGTACACGCTGTCAGAATCTGAGCTAGGGCTTCCTGGAGGCCTGGAATCACAATAGGCACAGGTGGTGCCTGAGCTGGTGCGTCAACAAGTGGAATCTGGTCCTGATCTGGGACAACTGATGGATCTGCAGGTACTGCCCTAGCTGCTGTACAGGCTGCACCTCTGCCCCTACCACGGCCTCTACTGCGGCCTCGGCCTCTCGCGGCTCTGGCAGGTGGTACTGGTGGCTGGCCCTCCTGACTGGTAGCACGAGTCCTCACCATCTGTGAGAGAATGAAAAAACAGGTGTTTAGTTACCAGAATAGACAGATTCGCACGACAAGAATCCAAGAATGTGAAATTTTCCTAAGGGTTCTGCAGCCTCTCGAAGATAAGTACAGACGTCTTCGTACCGATCCGCAAGACTCTACTAAACCTGCTCATGACTCATGAGACCTATGTAACCTAGGCTCTGATACCAACTTGTCACGATCCAAAACCTAACCCGTCGTGATGGCGCCTATCGTAGTACTAGTCAGGCCGATCTTTCCAAAACACTTTCAAAAATTTAACAAAAGTGAATTAAGACATTTAAAATAACCGTAGTTTCTCATAAATATGGGGTAAAACCCAAATAAAACATAAGTGAGGAAAAATAGCCCGACATCGGGGTATCACTAAGTCATGAGCGTCTAAGTATTTAAAACTATTACAGCCAATATCTACATATCATTACGAAACGGAAAGAAAAGTGGAAGGAGTAACAAGGTCCTGCAGACACTGGCAGCTACTTTGTATTCTCCGAAACTCAACAAGCCTGGACTCAACAATCTCCATGCTCAGACACACTTGGATCTGCACATGTAGTGCAGGGTGTAGTATGAGTACAACCAACTTAGTAAGTAACATAAATAAATAAGGAATCGAGAAGTAGTGACGAGCTATACAGAACAATTGATTTGATAATTTTCACAGTTAAGAGTAAACATGAGCAAAAGATCAGTTACATAATCACCAGTTCCAGCCAGACAATTTTCAGCTAAATGCAGCAACAAAGTGAAATAGATGAAACCTCACAGACACTGTCACTCAAACCCTCAATAACTCGACCCTCAACTCTCAGCCCTCAATGCACACGCTCAATAGGTACCTGCGCTCACTGGGGGTGTTCAGACTCATGAGGGGCTCCTACAGCCCAAGCGCTATAATCTGCACGGATAACTCACGTACTGCACGGACAAATCACGTGCCATAGTATAAATATCTTGATCCGCACGGACAAATCACGTGCTATAGTATAATATCTCAACAACAGGCCCTCGGCTTACTTAGTCATGAACCTCTCTAGTCTCTTAGCTCTCAATAAAAAAAGGGAAAACATCCCAAATCAAAGTGTTATAGTATATCATACGGGAAACTTACAGAGACTGAGGTAAACATGTACAAGAATCAATATGACTGAATATAACTACCATGAGCAGGAATATAGCCTAAGCATGATTTTTAACAAGAAAGGCAGTCAAGTTCTAGTAGACATGAATGCATATAAATACAAATAAAGGCTATTAGACTTCACAGTCTCCCGGGACGGACCAATCTCAATCCCTCACGGCGTACACCCACACGCCCGTCACCTAGCATGGGTGCCACCTCCAAACAGTCACACTATACCAAACTCCAGGTTTCATACCCTCAAGACCAGATTTAAAGCTGTTACTTACCTCAACAGTGTAGAACTACAACTCCGGAATGCTCTTTCCTCTCGAACCGGCCTCCAAATGACCCTAATCTAGCCACAAGCAATAAAATACGATCAATATTAGCTAAAGAATGAATCCCACAAGGAAAATACCAAATTATAGGCCAAATCCCGAAATTCACTCAAACCCGACCCCCGGGCCCACGTCTCAAAATCCGATAAAAGTCAGAAAACCCGAAAGCTCATTCACCTCCGTGTCTACCCATACTAAATTCATCAAAATCCGACCTCATTTGGTCCCTCAAATCCCCAATTTACTCTCTCCAAAATCCCAAACCCTAACCCCTTATTTCACTCCAAATATCCTACTAATTAGGTGAGAAATTAACGGGAAAACACAATAGCTAATGATAATAGAGCTCAACAAACTTACCTCAGTGAATATCCTTGAATCCCCTTCAAAAATCACTCCAAAAGCTCCAAAGTCCGTGTTCCAAATTGTGAAAATGAGGAAAAATCTCAAAGTCCCCTTTTTTTAATTTCTGCCAAGCAAAACCACACCTGCGGAGCCGCTTCTGCGGTTGGGAACTCCACTTATGTGGGAACTCACTTAACGCACTAACCCCGATCCTGCATCCCAGGTCTCACACCTGCGGACGCGCACTGCGCATTTCCCTCCGCTTCTGCGGAAACAACCAAACTCCTCTCTTCCGCATCTGCGACTCAACCTCGCATCTGTGGGCTCGCAGATGCGACCACTTCTATGCACCTGTGGTTCTAGCCCAGGTCCTCCATGTCCGCATCTGCGGCTTACTAAGCACACCAGCGACCTCGCCCCTGCGGCTCCCCCTCCGCAAGTGCGGAAATACAGCAGCAACTTCAGCTGCCTTTTTCCAACTTCAAACCATCCGTTAACCACCCGGAATCACCCCGAGCCCCTCGAGACCTCAACAAACCATAACAACAAGTTATATAACAACATACAAACTTAGTCGAGCCTTCGAATCACTCAAAACAACATCAAAACACCAAATTACCCTCGGATTCAAACCTAAGAACTTCTAAACTTTCGAATTCCACAAACGATGCTGAAACCTACCAAATCACGTCCTAATAACCTTAAATTTTACACACACGTCACAAATGACACCACGAACCTACTCCAATTTTTGGAAATGCATTACAAACCCGATATCAAATTTTTCACTGCCGACCGAAATAGCCAAATTTCCAACTTTTGTCAATTCAAGCCCAATTCCACTACGGACCTCCAAATCACATTCCGGATGCGCTCCTAAGTCCAAAATTACCTAACAAAACTAATGAAACCATCGGAACTAAATTTCGAGATCGTTTACACATAAGTCAACATCCAGTTGACCTTTCTAACTTAAGCTTCTAAATAAAAGACTAAGTATCTCAATCCACTCCGAAACCACTCCGGACCCGAACCAACTAACCCGGTATATCATAACATAGCTGAAAAGAATAAAAGGAAGCAGAAATAGAAAAAATGGGGCTATAACACTCGAAACGGTCGGCCAAGTCGTTACATTTATTAAGGTGAATAAGGTTGGTATTCTGGCAATAATTGAACACAGAGTTCAGGAGCAGTTCACAATACCTATAGTCAAAAAAATAGCTAAGACATGGAAATGGTGAAGCAATTATCAAAGTAATAGTAAAGGGAGAATTTGGGTACTGTAGGATCCAATCCAATGTGAGTTCAATTATATTGCTAATAGTACACAATGTATACATGGGATGGTGAAAACAACTCATGTAGGATTCCTCTATTACAAAACTCAAAATAATTTGATAGATTATATTGCTGGCATCGATGACAGATTGAATGAGAACCCAGTCCAAGAATCAGAAATCAAAGACCTCAATGAGTTCATGCAGGATGCCTCTATTACAAAACTCAAAACAGTTGGTCGAGAGTTTACTTGGACAAATAACCAGGTGTATAGCAGAATTGATAGGGCCTTAGGAAACCCGGAATGGATACATAGCTGGCCACAAATTAAAGCTATCATTCTTGAGCCCTCATTCTCAGATCACTCTCCCATCTGCGTCAATATATGCACAAGGAAAATGAGGAGGGCAAAGCCTTTCAAATTTTACAATTACCTGGCAGATCATCAGGAATTCTCAACAAGAGTAGAGGAATATTGGGGAGGTGCAGGACAAAGTACTACACTACAAGGAATGAAACAGTTATCCCATGACCAATATAATGGTTTAGCAGATAAAGTCAACAGATCAAGGCAACAACTGTATGACCTACAAGAACAAATGAGGTCCTACAACCAGCATTGTCAGTTATTTGAAAAGGAGAAATGCCAAAAACAGCAGCTAGAGAAATGGTCTACTATAGAGGGGGGTATTGCTAAGCAGAAGTCTAGAGTACAATGGATAAAACTGGGTGACTCGAATACAGCTTTCTTCCATGCTTGTGTAAAACATAGAGAAGCTTAGAACCACATAAGCAGCCTTATGACAGAGGATGGGGTGATTGTGCAGACAGAGGAAACAATAGAGAAAGAGATACTAGGGTTTTATAAACAACTGTTAGGAAGTGCAAAGAACCAGCTACCTTGTATTGATCCCACAGAAATGCAAGAAGGTCAGACACTCAACGGGGAGCAGCAACTTCAACTAATTGCCCATGTGACCAAGGAAGAGATTTCCATAGCAATTTAGGGGATTGATAGCCACAAAGCACCTGGTTGTGATGGGTTTAATTCTTTATTTTCTAAAAAGGCTTGGCATATTATAGGCAATGATATTACCAATACTATCTTGGACTTCTTTGAAATAGGTGAAATACACAGGACAGTAAATTGTACTACTATAACACTTATTCCAAAGGTGAAATACCCCTCGACAATGAAAGAATACATGCCTATCTTATGTTGCACAGTGTTATACAAGATCATATCCAAAGTTATCACCAGCATGCTACAAAAGGTGATGGATCACTTAGCGGACCACAGTCAGGGAGCCTTTGTACCTGGGAGAGTCATCACAGATAACATAATCCTTAGCCATGAACTGGTAAAAGGATACAATCGGAGTGGAATATCCCCAAGGTACATGCTAAATATAGACATGCAAAAGGCATATGATACTTTGGAATGGTCCTTAGAACAGATATTGACTGGGCTAAACTTCCTAACCACTTTCATTAAGTGGATTATAATACGTCTTAATACAGTAACCTACTCAATCAACATTAATGGATATCCAACCAAGCCTTTTCAAGCAAAAAACGGGTTGAGGCAGGGTGACCCAATGTCCCAATTTCTCTTTATGCTAGCTATGGATTACTTAAGTAGATTACTGAAAAGACTAAAGACTAAAGCTGATTTCAAATAACATCCTAGGTGTAAGCAGCTACAGGTGGTGCAACTAGGCTTAGCTGATGATTTATTGTTTTTCTGTATAGGGGATTTAAGTTCTGTTAAACACCTATTTGATTGCTTTCAGCAATTCTCACAAGCCTCAGGCCTCGTTGCCAATGTAAGCAAAAGTTCAATATACTTTGGTGTGGTAAATGCAACAATGGAGCAATAGATTATTGATTTACTGGGGTTCTCAAAAGGTGAACTGCCAATAAGATACCTAGGTGTTCCTTTGAGTACCAAAAGACTCCCTGGTACAGTGTCAGCCACTATTGGACAAAATGCTGAGCAGGACTACACCATGGACAACTAAATATCTTTCTTATGGAGGAAGGACATAACTGTTGAGGAGTGTTTTATTTTCCATTCAGATATTCTGGTCACAGATTGTTGTCCTCCCAAAGAAGCAGATACTACTGATAGAAAGAATTTGTAGGAGATTTATATGGACCGGAGGAACAGAACTTTCAAAGAAAGCCCTCTTAGCATGGAAAAAGCTGCATTTGCCACTTACTGTTGGAGGCTTAAATCTGCTCAACATTTCAATTTGGAATAAAGCTTCTATCTGCAAACTAATGTGGAATTTGTGTTGCAAAAAAGACAAATTATGGGTCCAATGGATCCATACATACTATAGTAAAGGGAAACCAATATGGGAAACTACATTTAACCAAGCATCCTGGATGGTAAGCAAGATTTTCAAGGCAAAAGGTCCTCTAATGAATGCAGGTTATACTGAACAAGACATGCAGGAATTAGAATCTTTCTTTATCAAAGCAATGTACAAGACACTGTTGGGTGAACATCCTAAGGTGGAGTGGGGAGGATTAGTATGCAACAACAAAGGATCTCCAAGATGGATCTTCAACATGAGATTGATTGTGCATGGCAGGCTATACAGTAAGGATAGACTGGCCAATTGGGGAATGATTGAGGACCAGACTTGCCCATTTTGCAATACAGCACCAGAGACCATCAATCACTTATTCTTCCAGTGTTCAACATCTGCAGCAATATGGAACAAAATTCTCCGGTGGCAAGGTATAGGAAGACAAGCACAACCATGAGAGGAGGAGCTACAATGGGCTATACTTCATCAAAACGGGAAGAGCACCAATGCTGAAGTATACAGGATGAGCCTTGCAGGTTGCTTATACTATGTATGGCAAGAGAGAAACTACAGAATTTTTCGACAAGAAGAGAGACCAACACGCATCATTGTGAAGCTGATCATACAAGATATTTTTGTGAGAGGGGATTTACATCCTAAAATAGCTAGGAAGTTACTAGAGTTTAATTTTTACCCTGGCTAAGGATGTATGTCAAGGCATAGGTAGGAGAAGTGGAGTATTGGGGAACTATATCACTGGGGCAATGTCCATTGGATATAGGGATATGTTTCTGTTTATAGCGTTGTAAATATTTACAAGTGGTAATAAAATTTCTTTAATTACCAAAAAAGAAATTATTTAACAATAATAAAGGGCGAGATGATAGAAAAATACAAGGTAACGATGCGACCACGCCAAATTAGTCTTTACATAAAGTGTCACTTTTCGTCATTATGTAATGACGGATTTAACGATACAATACAATAAAATTTAAGTAACAATCAAAACGAGCATCATATTTAAAGTAACAATACAATACAATAGGTAACAACCATCCAAACAAGTTGTAAATCTTAGTGGCACATTATTATCACATAAGACACCGGATGCGAGCCTCCATTTCATCCCAAATTAGTTATAACCAAAAGAAAGTCTTATATGATGGCAATGGCATTATATATTCCCAAAAAGTTTAACCACATGCATGTAGCCTTAGGAGAATACTGTGCTGTAACCTCTTCAATTCCAATTCTAATCCTTTAAATGTACTTGAGCAGCATATTCTGGCTCATAAGCCTTCATCTTCTTCTGACAAAAATGAGATCATTCTCAAAGATGACGAGGGTACATTAGTACAATGTTGTAAGTCTGTACTATGCCAAATTTGCTGATTATGAAATTAGGTTGAATTACGATATATGAATTTGCTACTATTTTAACTCGTCTGGTATTGGGGAGGGTTCAAAGACAATGATACTGCTAATGGTCTAGGTTTCAGTCTTCCTTTCAGTGGCGGCTCAAGAAGATTGACGGTCTAAAGTCAATTTTTAATTTGGGACCTTTCCGAAGGAAAAAAAAAATTTATCTATATTTTTAATTGAAGTCTATTTTTCTAACTTTTTAAAATGTTAAGTTGTTAATAGTTTCTTTTATAAATAATTTAATCTCTCCTAAGATATTGTAGATCTTAGATAATAGAACCAGATTCAAGAAGTTTATAACTTGATATCGAAATAATTTTTGATGTACTAATATACTTGTTGAAACGCTTGAAACCCGAGGGAGAAAAAATGGAAAAAATAATGCGCAATATAGTTTTATTCAACGGTACTGTTCAACTCTTGTTTTTTATAGAAAAAATAAAACTTTTTTTTTTCAACAAAGAACAATATAAGTTATCGAGAACTTAAGCATTTTTGCAGAAACCAAGAAAGAGAATATAAGAATGTAGTACACATTTTCCGATGAGAAAGATAAAAAATAAGACTTGGACTATTGAAGATACCAAAAATGGGATTCTAAAAGTTTATTACACATTTTTAGTGAGAAATGTAAAAGGAGAATAATAATATAGGTACCTCACTAATGATGTCAACCGTAAAATTTAAATAATGAAATATTTTCGACAAAGGTTTAGGGGAAGTGATTCTCTTTCTCTAATTTTTGCTCAAACGGTTACATCAATACTAAATTAAAAGTTATCTTTACTTTTTATAAAATATTTTTTTTTATTTTACCATACCTAATATATTTAGACCCTTCCTCTAAAGATTGTTGTGAGGCGTATATGATCCAACTTAACTTAATTAGATATATCGGGTTCGAGTCATGTGGTTAAAAAAATTCTGTTAAAATGGGTTTTCTCTTTTACTAGGCCTTACGCGGTACGAAATTAGATTAATTGGGATCTCAATACAAATACGAACAAAAACAAAAAGAAAAATTTGGGGCCCTCAAAATTTAGGGCCTAAAGCCTTTGCTTTAGTGGCTTGAACTTGGGCCGCCCCTGCTTCCTTTACTTCTTTAATATGGTGATTTTGTATTACAATGGGATAATTTTGTACCGATTTGTGACTTGAATTAATGCACATATATTAGATTCCTGCTTACTATTAGGATGGTCAATATATGAAATTGGTCTAAATGGTTCGTGAAAACTAAGCAAAACTGGAAAATCCTTGAACACACAATATTATATACTTCGTATTTCTGCTACATTACTTGAGGAGTCTTGTCTAACTAGCTTGGAGTACATGAAATGCCTATCTATTATGCATTTATTGTTTATTCAATTACTAGTTTGGCTGTATGCTCAACCAAGATTCCTAGTTTGGTTGCTCTAATTTTATAAAATTTAAACTAAAATAAATTTATAGAGCCATTAGTCGGCCCTAAATGTGGGGGAAGTGCACAGTTAACCACTAATTAGAGATGTCTGTACTCTTTAGTCACTGTTTAAAATGTAGTTACTCTTTAGCCAGTGCTTAATAAATTTTTACCCGCCCGCACGAAAATATCCATGTGCTAGATATGGGTGATGTGTAAATATTAAGGACATGGTGTCCTTAATATTTACACATCGCCCATGTCTAGCACAGGGTATTAAGGATATGGTGTCCCTAACTTCATGAATGTTGTGTAAATATTACAGACAAACTGTCATGTATTTGTACCTTCCGTTGTTAAACTTTAGGACATCATGCCCTTAACTTCATATGTGCAGTGTAAATGTTAAGGACATGGCGTCCTTAACTTCATGTGTGCAGTGTAAATGTTGGACATAATGTCCTTATCTTGTATTTGCACCTTCTGTTGTTAAACTTTAGGACCTCATGTTCTTGACTTCATATGTGCAGTGTAAATGTTAAGGACATGGTGTCCTTAACTTCATGTGTGCAGTGTAAATATTAAGGACATAGTGTCCTTAACTTTTTATGAGTGTTGTATAAATATTAAGGACATG